ATAACAAGAAGAATTTAAATTGTTATATTCTTATTCCTTTTTAAAGGGCTGTGTTACATGTGACATCAGGGATGCGAGTTGTGAGGCTGCAATGGCTGCTGACAATATGGAAAACAAGGGAAAATTGCCTCCACACCTGCAGCACTGAATTCACCAGCACTTGTGTCAGTAAAACCACTTGGTGTAATTCCCATCCTCTTTTCCTCTGCCTTCGCTACATACTAGTGTGAATCTATCTGGCTATTTCTTCCCGACATGAACAGTCACGTACATGAAACTAAATCTTCTCCGTTACCCCTCTGCTCCTGGCATGACTTTGAAGACAATCTTTCACTGGGAGGCTCTTTCTCTTCCTGACCTCACAGACTTGATGCAGAATGGGTTATGTTTCTAACTGTTGATTGCTCAATGATGAGCAAAATACAAAGTGTTCTGGGATTTGTTTGTTCATTTGAACTTGGCGAGTAAGAGTCTGAAAAGATGCGGTGGTTAAGACCTGCAGCGATGAACCTAACAGATTGGAGCATGTAGGCAAGATGTGTTGAAACCAGCATTGAAACCAAGCTCTTCATTTTCATTTGTTCAACATTTAAAGATCTGAACTGAAGATTCTGAGGTTCTAAAATCACTGTAGCTGGTTCAAGAATCCAGAAGGCTTCTTAAAGAGCAGCTGAAAACTGGCTGAGTTATTCTGCATCAAAATGCCTTTCACCAGCTTGTGCCCATCAAAAACTGAAGTGAAAAGAAGCAAAGCTGTTCCTATGTTTTTCCTGATGAGTGTTTTGGAACCAAGTTGGTTTAAAGCTTTTGCTTTTAAAGCTGTGTTTCTCAAGATAGGTGTTTAAAATTGATTGAGGGTAACTGGTTTGCAACGCCACTAGAGATGAGATGATAAGTAGCAATCAAAGAAAAAAAGTAATAATTCAGGAGTTATTTCCTTGTACAGGATCTGCTTTTCAATGAAAGGACACATGGAAAACCTTTTCTACCAAGGCCCTATAGCCTAGTTATCGATTCAAGTAGCTACATGCAATCTTTTGTGTTGCTAGTGCTCTGGACAGCAGATTTGTATCTTAGGTTTTTTGTTGCTGGTTTAGAGTAGTTAAATGAGCTGAATCCAGACATAATGAATAGGAATTTTTAAGCCATTTCCCTGTTTTGTTTTTGTCGTGGTGATGCCAAAAACAAAAAGAAAAAAGAGATTGAGCTTTATTTCTTCTGCTTTCTTGAGAAGTCACATGTTGTGGAGCCAAACTTGAACATCAGACCACACGCTTCTTACCACTGTTGACTTCCTGTACAAGTTTTAACCTCTTTCTTTATAATGGTGTCTCTGGCTGTAGAAATCCATGGATGAAAATACAGTTTGTACATGATGTGAGTGTGTGGCTCAGAAGGCGGTAACTGCTTTCTCCTTCAGTATGTAAAAGGACTTGTTCTCATGTTAATACTTCTAGCTTCAAGCTGAATGTCTCAAAGTGCTCTTCAAGCAGGACATGCTTCATACACCTAGCAGATTTTGTCTGATTTCCCCTTTGTTTGTCAAAGCTGGATGTAATCAGGTTTTCTTTGTGGAGTTCATCACCTCAGCCTTCTCAACAAACACTGTTGGAATGTAACACATTATTCATCCTTTTGTTCTGTGTAACTCTTCTTTTTTCTGCCATGTGAAGGATTTTCACATTTCCAGTTTAATTTCCTAGTGAGCTTCAAGTGGTTTAAGTTACAAATACTGTGATCTTTGAAGGAAAACTGTATTTATCTAAAGGGTTTTGTTAGTTTTTAGAATCAATTTAGTGACAATCTTTGTCTTTAAAGCCTATTTAAAGGAAAGGTATTTTTACAGAATTTCAAGTTTAATTTGACCCAGGCAGCATTCTTTGGATTTATTTTTTACGTGTACTTGTCTGCTCTGTTTATACCTATTGCTTTCTATTTATACTCAAGCTGCATTTCATTGTCTTTCAGTTTTTCAGTTTGAACTTGTTTTTTCTTGTCTTGTAAATCAGCAGAGGTCCACACATCCTCAGTAGTTTCTGTGTCCAAACTTCAAACAGCTCTTAAAATCAGAGACTTTGATGGGTGTTTACATAGAGCAAGTCATGTACTCAAGTAGGAAAATGTGGGCAATACCTTATACCTTTCCTGTTATTCTTTCCAGCACTTTCCAAATAGAGCATTCTGCTTTATAACCACGCTGCCTAAAATATTTGCTCTAAAACATGTAATAAGATGCTTTGTGTAAAGGTTCTTAATTGGGAAGTTTCTTAACTAATTTAACTGTCAAATTATGCTTATGCGTTAGAATCCATTCTAGTTGTGCTTACATTGACTGCTTTAATATGTTTTGAGACTTGGTGAAATAGATCAAGGTGAATGCTCCACGTAAGGATGGCTGTCTCCTTCAAAACAGGTACAAAGTGGAAGCCAGAAGGGAAGTTTAGATAAGCAACTCTTTTGCTGTATGTTATTTCCTGAGTATGAAAATGAGATGGTTTGCGATGTCTTAGCAGGCACACATGTAATCCATGTTACAAACAGTGGGGCTTGGTTTAGGAGAATGGCAACATGCACCTAATAGTTGAACAGTGCTTTTCATCCACAGGTCTGGAAACATGTTGGTTGTGTAAAAAGAGGCAGAGAGACAGGGCTTGCACAGATGCATACCCTGAGCTCATACCAAATCCAGAAGTATAACTTGGGGATCTTCACTCACTGTATCCTGTGCTGTCTTTGCTACAAGTAGTCAAGATTCTGACCTTTATGTAGAAACTTAATCATACTATGTGTGTTTCTTGTTTGGAGATGTTAACCCTACTTGTACCACTTGCTGCTATAAATTTGTGCCCAGAAAGATCATACAGCAACAGAAAGCCTGGACATCCTAGTTTTTGTAGTTCTGTGAACACCAGACCCTCTGACCATATATAATGAAGGTGCATGTGCCTAGGAGCTTGAATTCAAAGTTAGTAATCCTGGCTACATCTTAGGTGCAAGAGTCCTTGTCTAGGGCTATGTTAGTCCTGGGTTATAGAATAAATATGGTGTGGGAGAAGAATAGAAGAATGAAGAGGTGAATCAGTGCCCTGTGTGACGATGAAACTAAATTATTGGCCCAAAACCCAAGTGGTGTTTGCTGCAAAACCAGGTTTAAGACAAAAAACAGTTTCCCGGGTTACTCTTTACCCCACTAGAACCACAACATCTTGCAGTCAAATGCCTTATCACGCTGTTTGGGAAGGACCTCATTCCCATAAGCTTCAGGAACTGGTAGTTTTTACTTTGGTTTTTATTACTCTTTCAGTCTCTCTAGTTTGCTGGAACAGTCAAGGTGAGATCCAGTTCTGTTCTGAAAGACCAGTGGAGTAAATAGTGCAGCCAGATTTGCACCTGCTCTCTTGTTTATGTGACTTTGTTTTACCTGGTATAATTGAAACATTGCAGACAGTTTAGAGCTGCCTGGAAGGTCGCTGCTTTGGTGACCAAAGGGAAAACATGCAGGTACAATAACGATGCGGTTAATACCCCCTGTGGGGGCAGCAGCAGTTTGAAAACCCTCGGTGGATTTCTCTGGCAATTTCTTTTTTGTTGTATTCGTAAAATACAGAATTCTGTTTTTAAAAGATGAATTGATGTGCAGATATTTTCATGGCATTGTGAGGAACAGGAGGGACCCTAATGTGTTTTTCCAGTGCGATGAGTATTTGCTGAATGAGTCATGGATTGGTAAGTTTATCTTCCAGCTGAATCAAGTTTTCAATCACAATCAAATGAATTTTTACATCAGGAATATTTTATTGCTATAATATTCAGCTGGGGTTGAATTTCCAGGTGTGATTTTTGCTGTAGACGTTAAAGGAGCTTCTGTTTTTATAAATAAAACTGAAAATATGCTGCAAAAAAATGGTTTCAAGGGTGTGTTTACTTTTGGTGTTGGTAACGTCTGGAAAAGAGACATCTTTCTGATTGTACATAGGTGGTGAAGTTGTGGGTTTACTTATTTTGCTTTATGTTGGCAATATTTGAAGTGAAATTGAACAGATTTATTTCTTTTCCCCCCAGTGTTTATAGGCTCTACCCCTTTCCATTTCTGTGAAATAAATCTGCCTTAGGTGGTTACTCATTTAGATAAATTCAAAGTCTGTCTTACAGTTTTTATTGACTGATGAGGAGGCAGGGAAGGAGGAACTTCCAGAGAGGCACTGACTGCTCCATTGTGTGAGGATGAATGTTCAGAAGACTTCAAGTAGCTGCACGGTGCATCCAGCTGCCATAAGGACATTTTTCTTTGCTATAGCTGCATTCATCTGTCTTACAATTTATGTGAGGTGAGCAAGCTCTATCAAGCTTTGTTTAAACAGCACATTCAGAGATTTATGATGTATATTATTGCGATCGACGTAGTATGAGTATCACTGTTAAGTGAAGTTTATGTCAAGCTTTCTGTGAGCCTTGATTAGCATGAGATTAATGCAAAGCATGTATTGGACAAGGGAGGGCTTCACAGCTTAGGCTGAGACTGTGCATACTCTCAAAATTGCCATCCCCCAGAGGCAGTTCCTAACTCCAGCTCTACTCATTGCAGATAATATTGGGAAGTACCCGGGATTAAGCAGTTATTTCTCTCTAGGGGTAGTGGGAACAAGTGCTTGATCCTGACACTGACACTTATTGTTTCTGTGGTGTCTTGGGGATGTCAGGAGGGGATTGGGCACTGTTAAGCTGCCATCCCTCCCTGGCTCAGCATCATCAGGGAATGCAGCAATGACCCTCTCTTCCTGGCACCCCAATCTATGTCAAGAGACCAACAAAAGAGAAAGTCCTCTTGCCTCTGGACTTAGATGCAGCTGAGGCATCTTCTGGGAGGTTTGGTGGGACCCCATGGGAATCTTACTTCCCCTGCCCAAATTCTTTTCATGTTGCATATTTATCTCTCTGTCCCATTACTTTCTTCTTGTTGTGCTGAACTCTGAGTAAATACCACCCTGCTCACAGCATCATTGCAAAACATCAAGAATTTATTAATTTCCAAGTAGCATAGAATCTAAAGTTAGGAGCTGGCTTGTTTCTTCGTTCTCATTTTAAATCAAAAGCAAATCTAGAAACATGTTTTCAGACATCTGTATAAATTATGCAACCAAAGTCAGGGAGATTTTCTTCTGTTCACACACAGTATTTCCAGAAGCACTCAGAAAGATTCCCACGTTTCTTGTACTGTTTCCTGTCCTTGGTCAAGAAGCGGCCCAGCAAAGCAACTCGAGGAGGATTTCCATAGGAAGTCTAAAATCAAACAACATTTGACAGGTTACTGCTGGATGGTGAATGTTCCCAGTGGGAAAGTCCATTCTCCAGTAACCCAACTGACCACCCAGCCCATGTTCTAACTGAGGGAAGGAGAGGCGACTGCCCCATGTGCCCTCTCATTTAGATGATGCACTAAAACTCGTCCCTATCTTCTGCCTTTA